AAAGTTACAAATATCATTTTTCTTTTATAGATTATAATACTACAGTCCACAAATTGTAGTTTCAACATGTTTTATTTTTTATTTTTTTTATTTTACAATTTGTTATGTTATCATCAATTGACTATACTTTCGATAACACATCCAATATTATCAAAATAAAAAATTCCTGGTCCATAATTTACTTCCACATTTCAAAATTTGTTATATTCTACTTTCACATTAGAAATTGTAGGGCTTTCATGTATTTTTGTTTTACGTCAACTTATTTGCTTACACAGTCTCAAAATTAATATGCTCCCTAAATTGCCCAAACAAGTACATCTTTATTAAAGTAGTATTGCACCATCAGCACTTAATGGCACAATAAAGTGATAAACTACTCAGAAAATTTGATATCCCAAAAAACCAAAAAACAAACCCCAAATTTAGAATGATTGAAGACCTAATCAACATACTTTGAATCCCTCATCGACCACAACACAAGCTTCAACTCTTGAATAAAAAACGTAACAATTTGTTGTGTGTAAGCAGGCAAAAGTACCAGTTACCCTTTGGACATGGCAAATTTGTTTACATTCTTATTTTATGAGAACAGAGAACATAAGGGTTCAATTTCTTCACAAGATCATGCAACATAGAAAGCTTGACATAAATATAATTACGAGATACTTGAATATTTACAGATGTGAATATGTTTTGTTACACTTTTTGGTGGTTAAAACAGTTGCAAATTGTCAAATGTGAGTAACAAATAATCATATTTACAACATAATATTCTCCTCCTATTTGGAAGAGAACCAAATGATACACACAAATGGGAACAGTATTGTATACAACAATGAAGAAGTTAGGGTATTCAAACCCTCTCCTAAAAAGCTTCTTCAGGCTTTAGGAAGTTGTGATATTCCAACTGAGTCATCTCTCCACCACTCACTGGATCAAACTGGCAACGATAGAAGCTGCATAAATGCAAATCAATTATTTTACTTGTGAGAGAGAGAGAGAGAGAGATTGTGTTTACAAAAATTGTGGAAGGTATGAAAATATCTCTCTCAAGAAGGAAGATTCAAAACGTACCCTTTCTTGTTTGCACTATCATATCATATTACATTTATCGATAACTAATACCTATCCTGAAGCAGGTGTAAACATTTTCTGTATGTTTTTTAGGCAGCACTTAAATGAGAGGTTGGTTCGCAAAATCAAAACAAACTAGAAATAACAGGATACATTAAATTACTAAATCATTATGTATAAATTAAATCAATGATATCTTGTTAGTTGTACACACCTTCCATCTAAGCCAAGAATTACAACAGTATTCTTTTGGTGACCAAATGCAACAATGTATTGCGAACCTTCAAGCAAACGAAACTGAGCAACAGACCACTCTGAGCTGAAATACTTGGGCAATACTCCTGCAAAATGAGTAGCAACTTAGATCCTAAAATCAATGAAACAAAATTTATCTTTAAATGTTACCCTCCAGCATCCAGTAATAATTAATCAAACCACAGAAAACAGAAAACACAGAAATACCAGAAGCATTTTAAATAACATAGCGGATTAAAAATCATACCGAGAACAAAAGAACAGAATTGTAATCTCTATTCACAAAATACACCATTTGTCAAATATGCATAACATCTGCATGGTAATCAGAGTATTTTGGAGCAAAAGAAATGGTTCCTGTGAAATCTACCAATTTATGTAGTCTTGAGTTCTTTGAGAATCAAGAAGTTGATGCATTGTCAATAATAAAGACAACATTGATCCTTTGAAGAGTCTAGAATTGTTCATACATATATATTTGTGAACTGAGAAAGGAACCATTATGAGGAACTAGTCACTTGGTTTATTCCTAGTCCTCCAATGAGTTTTACCCCCAAATGACTTTCTGAAGCTTCATTGAACTTATTAAAAGGTAAAGCTATAAATTTTGTCCAGCATGTTTCAGAAATTAAAGGACAAGGTAACCATGGAAATTGAAGTTATGTAATGGACTACACAAAACCTTCATATCATCTTTTGGCATAGTTTCAGGACTTTTCCTTTGGAAAAATAAAATGAAATCCGCCTTCTCTGAAAAGAAACGATTTCATTATGTTAATGGCATCTAAGCTGAAAAGTTTCCATCTCCAGGGCACTTGATGTGATCCTATTTTGTTGCTTGCTTGTCTAATGCACAAGATTGTTTTTAGAATTTCATTTAATGGTATTGATCCAAATTCTCTCCATTTTAGTGACAGCAGTTTGTGCAAATTGCAAACATAAACTGCATTCAAATGCCCATGCGCCCCTTAGTTATTTAAGGAAGAACATCAATGTGCGAGAAAAGAACTAAATTTTTTTTTTTAAAAAAAAAAGGCAAGTTTACAAGTGATTTGAGGAAGGCATCTTATTACCTTTTATAAAAGAGAGTGATGAAGTGGGTGATGAAACAGCATGATTGGGATCAGATGCACCATGTGACTTATCACTTCCCAGGTTTCCCAAATTAGCCTTTAGACCAAAAACATGGACAGTGCCCTTGTCGCTTGAGACTGCCAGCCACTGGGCAGTTAAAGAGAATGCCAGACTATATATTTCTGCTCTATCTGCACCCCTCCTAACCTGCATTATATATCTCATTTAGTTTATCAACAATTTCTAAAACTGTTGAAAGACAAGTGACCAACCTTATATCAGACTTGGGAAGAATAAATGATAATTTGGTTTGTCAAGGAAGAAGTAGAGCAACTCCACTTTTCAAGAAACAAAGGTAAGCATTCCATCCACATTTGAAAAACCCAAACAATGCACAGCTTCCCCATATAGTCTGTTCTACAAGGATCCCTACGGAAGCCCATAATCTAATTAGAAATTAATGGAGATAAATGTCTTCAACAATACAAGGCCCTTAGTGCAGGGACTATGGATTACATTCAATTAATATAATTCTATCAGATGATATCTTTTCGTAATCAGGAAGCTGATTACTCATTACAATACAATGCACCAAATTTAATTCTCTATACTTCACAGGTCTGTATTTGGTGCTCTGAATCATTCTGTCCTTAACACTCTCTATGAAATCATATATGGCGTCATAGTGACTCTGCTGAACTCTTCTAGGAATATCAACACAAGCATGCTTCGTAGTATTATCATCTACGTAATAATACATCATGTTTTCAATCTTGGTAGGCTTCACAACAAAATAATTATATTTTGCCTCCAATAGCTTAGAGAATTCCGTTTTACCTTCTCCACCATCTGGACCGTAGATCCAGTAGATAGATCTATGATCAGGAGATCCTGATATATATTCCATAAGAATATTCTGCCATGGATGACGGGGGTGCACGTCAGCATAATTTTCTATGAAGGCCTTTCTCTTCTGTAAACATATGTATCTGTTATACATGTCCGGATACTCAATCTTAGCACTCTCAGGGTCTTCTTCACATAGTTGGATCCTCTTCCTCTTATGCTGACCAGGGGCTACAGGCTCACCAAGCTCAAAGATAACATAACCTTCTTTAGAACAATACACCTTGTTCTGTAGATCTGAACCAGTGGCATTAGTTAAATGCACTGTTTGAGAACCAAGGAAATCTTTCACAGCACCAGGTCTCTTCACATTCGTGAAGGAGATGAACCCTTGATAATGGTCTCTCAGGGTAGATGGACTCTTCTCTGCTCCAATAACACAATATTTGACTTCCGTACTGAATATATTTTGTTTAAAACAAAAATCTTCCCAAAGGGTAAAGCAGAACCTCCTCCCTTGCTTTAATGGAATACTCATTTTATTAATAAATATAATAAAATATAGCAAGGGAAGGGAAGTAGGAAAGGGAGCGGGGTAATACTAGTGTCCGCTCCCCCCTTACCATTTTTATAGGCAACAATGTTCGCGGATTTGAAATTAATTAAATATACCTTAGCGTATAATTGAAATCCGTTGAAAAGTAAACACCCTTTTATATAGAGAAATGAGTAATCAGCTTCCTGAGTAGGAAAGGATATCATCTGATGGAATTATATTAATTGAATGTAATCCATAGTCCCTGCACTAAGGGCCTTGTATTGTTGAAGACATTTATCTCCATTAATTTCTAATTAGATTATGGGCTTCCGTAGGGATCCTTGTAGAACAGACTATATGGGGAAGCTGTGCATTGTTTGGGTTTTTCAAACGTGGATGGAATGCTTACCTTTGTTTCTTGAAAAGTGGAGTTGCTCTACTTCTTCCTTGACAAACCAAATTATCATTTATTCTTCCCAAGTCTGATATAAGTTTGATCACTTGACTTTCAACAGTTTTAGAAATTGTTGATAAACTAAATGAGATATATAATGCAGGTTAGGAGGGGTGCAGATAGAGCAGAAATATATAGTCTGTCATTCTCTTTAACTGCCCAGTGGCTGGCAGTCTCAAGCGACAAGGGCACTGTCCATGTTTTTGGTCTAAAGGCTAATTTGGGAAACCTGGGAAGTGATAAGTCACATGGTGCATCTGATCCCCAATCATGCTGTTTCATCACCCACTTCATCACTCTCTTTTATAAAAGGTAATAAGATGCCTTCCTCAAATCACTTGAAAACTTGCCTTTTTTTTAAAAAAAAAAAAAATTTAGTTCTTTTCTAAGTCTGGCATTCTCTTTAACTGCCCAGTGGCTGGCAGTCTCAAGCGACAAGGGCACTGTCCATGTTTTTGGTCTAAAGGCTAATTTGGGAAACCTGGGAAGTGATAAGTCACATGGTGCATCTGATCCCAATCATGCTGTTTCATCACCCACTTCATCACTCTCTTTTATAAAAGGTAATAAGATGCCTTCCTCAAATCACTTGAAAACTTGCCTTCTTTTTTAAAAAAAAAATTTTAGTTCTTTTCTAGCACATTGATGTTCTTCCTTAAATAACTGAGGGGCGCATGGGCATTTGAATGCAGTTTATGTCTGCAATTTGCACAAACTGCTGTCACTAAAATGGAGAGAATTTGGATCAATACCATTAAATGAAATTCTAAAAACAATCTTGTGCATTAGACAAGCAAGCAACAAAATAGGATCACATCAAGTGCCCTGGAGATGGAAACTTTTCAGCTTAGATGCCATTAACATAATGAAATTGTTTCTTTTCAGAGAAGGCGGATTTTATTTTATTTTTCCGAAGGAAAAGTCCTGAAACTATGCCAAAAGATGATATGAAGGTTTTGTGTAGTCCATCACATAACTTCAATTTCCATGGTTACCTTGTCCTTTAATTTCTGAAACATGCTGGACAAAATTTATAGCTTTACCCTTTAATGAGTTCAATGAAGCTTCAGAAAGTCCTTTGGAGGTAAAACTCATTGGTGGACTAGGAATAAACCAAGTGACTAGTTCCTCATAATGGTTCCTTTCTCAGTACACAAATATATATGTATGAACAATTCTAGACTCTTTAAAGGATCAATGTTGTCTTTATTATTGACAATGCATCAACTTCTTGATTCTCAAAGAACTCAAGACTACATAAATTGGTAGATTTCACAGGAACCATTTCTTTTGCTCCAAAATACTCTGATTACCATGCAGATGTTATGGATATTTGACAAATGGTGTAGTTTGTGAATAGAGATTACAATTCTGTTCTTTTGTTCTCGGTATGATTTTTAATCCGCTATGTTATTTAAAATGCTTTTGGTATTTCTGTGTTTTCTGTTTTCTGTGGTTTGATTAATTATTGCTGGATGCTGGAGGGTAACATTTAAAGATAAATTTTGTTTCATTGATTTTAGGATCTAAGTTGCTACTCATTTTGCAGGAGTATTGCCCAAGTATTTCAGCTCAGAGTGGTCTGTTGCTCAGTTTCGTTTGCTTGAAGGTTCGCAATACATTGTTGCATTTGGTCACCAAAAGAATACTGTTGTAATTCTTGGCTTAGATGGAAGGTGTGTACAACTAACAAGATATCATTGATTTAATTTATACATAATGATTTAGTAATTTAATGTATCCTGTTATTTCTAGTTTGTTTTGATTTTGCGAACCAACCTCTCATTTAAGTGTTGCCTAAAAAACATACAGAAAATGTTTACACCTGCTTCAGAATAGGTATTAGTTATCGATAAATGTAATATGATATGATAGTGCAAACAAGAAAGGGTACGTTTTGAATCTTCCTTCTTGAGAGAGATATTTTCATACCTTCCACAATTTTTGTAAACACAATCTCTCTCTCTCTCTCTCTCTCTCTCTCTCAAGTAAAATAACTGATTTGCATTTATGCAGCTTCTATTGTTGCCAGTTTGATCCAGTGAGTGGTGGAGAGATGACTTAGTTGGAATATCACAACTTCCTAAAGCCTGAAGAAGCTTTTTAGGAGACGGTTTGAATACCTTAACTTCTTCATTGTTGTATACAATACTGTTCCCATTTGTGTGTATCATTTGGTTCTCTTCCAAATAGGAGGAGAATATTATGTTGTAAATATGATTATTTGTTACTCACATTTGACAATTTGCAACTGTTTTAACCACCAAAAAGTGTAACAAAACATATTCACATCTGTAAATATTCAAGTATCTCGTAATTATATTTATGTCAAGCTTTCTATGTTGCATGATCTTGTGAAGAAATTGAACCCTTCTGTTCTCTGTTCTCATAAAATAAGAATGTAAACAAATTTGCCATGTCCAAAGGGTAACTGGTACTTTTGCCTGCTTACACACAACAAATTGTTACGTTTTTTATTCAAGAGTTGAAGCTTGTGTTGTGGTCGATGAGGGATTCAAAGTATGTTGATTAGGTCTTCAATCATTCTAAATTTGGGGTTTGTTTTTTGGTTTTTTGGGATATCAAATTTTAGTAGTTTATCATTTTATTGTGCCATTAAGTGCTGATGGTGCAATACTACTTTAATAAAGATGTACTTGTTTGGGCAATTTAGGAAGCATATTAATTTTGAGACTGTGTAAGCAAATAAGTTGACGTAAAACTAAAATACATAAAAGCCCTACAATTTCTAATGTGAAAGTAGAATATAACAAAATTTGAAATGTGGAAGTAAATTATGGACCAGGAATTTTTTATTTTGATAATATTGGATGTGTTATCGAAAGTATAGTCAATTGATGATAACATACCAAATTGTAAAATAAAAAAAATAAAAAATAAAAAAAGATTGAAACTACAATTTGTGGACTGTAGTATTATAATCTATAAAAGAAAAATGATATTTGTGACTTTAGATGTGTTAAACCATTTTATTCCACTTTCTTAATTAATGCAATATAAAAGCTATACGTTCAAGATTTTACTATATTTAAATTTTAAAGTGCAGATTTAGAGTTGTCCGTTTCAATGGGGAGAGAGAGAGAGAGAGAGTATTAATTCCAGACAGATGGCAAGATAACCGGGAAACAAGAAAACTGAAATTTATATACCATAGAATCTCTCTATATTTGCAAGTCATCTTCCTCTTGATCGAAACATTCATCAAGTGATCAAACAACTTCTCAATCACTCTTTCGATTTGTGCGTGAAAATGGGGATGAAGTTATATGGAATACCAGCGTCGACATGCACTAGAAGGGTGATGGCATGTCTCTATGAAAAGGGCGTAGATTTCGAGCTCATCCTAGTTAACATGGGTGCCGGTGAACACAAGCAACCTGCATTCCTTAACAAGAATGTGAGTCTAATTCAAGCCTCCATATTTTAAGTATTCAAATTTTGGTCTAAACTTGTAAGTCTGATTGTGTGTCTTATTTTATATCTCAACTATTCATTTCATCTCAACTATTCATTTTTGTAAACTTTCGTCTATAGATCATTTATTATTTAAAAAATAATAATTAATCTATTAATTATAATTATATGATTTCATCAATATAAAAAAAATTTAGGACAAATATTGTTTTGAAAATAGTCTCTCTCTTTTTTTTTTTAAAGGCAAATTTAATAAAATTATGTGATTAAAGTTTATAGGATCCATTTTATTTTATTTTAAAGTTTTTTTTAATTTCTTTACATGTTCTTCACAGAAGTCTATGTGATAAATAACTTAAACTATCAAATTGAGACCCAACTAGAATGAAATGAATTTCTTGGCAAGAGAGATCCATACATATATGACATTCTACATTATTGTTGTGGTTGTGGTTGTTGTTGTTGTTGATGTTGTTCTTTTTTTTTTTTTAAATAACTCAGTATCGTTTATATGAATTTTTGAATAATTCAATTCACACTTGGATTTAGTCTCTTGATTTTTGTCACGTGTGTGTAGCCCTTTGGCCAAATTCCAGCGCTAGAAGATGGAGATCTCACTTTTTGGTAAGCTCTCTCACTTAATTTTTCATTATATCGTCATAAATTTGTTCTTATAATTATAAATAAGTTCATATCAAAATCTTATAGCCACTGGATGATGTAATCAAAATATTTTATTACAATCATATTTAATATCAACAATTTCTAAAACTGTTGAAAGACAAGTGACCAACCTTATATCAGACTTGGGAAGAATAAATGATAATTTGGTTTGTCAAGGAAGAAGTAGAGCAACTCCACTTTTCAAGAAACAAAGGTAAGCATTCCATCCACATTTGAAAAACCCAAACAATGCACAGCTTCCCCATATAGTCTGTTCTACAAGGATCCCTACGGAAGCCCATAATCTAATTAGAAATTAATGGAGATAAATGTCTTCAACAATACAAGGCCCTTAGTGCAGGGACTATGGATTACATTCAATTAATATAATTCTATCAGATGATATCTTTTCGTAATCAGGAAGCTGATTACTCATTACAATACAATGCACCAAATTTAATTCTCTATACTTCACAGGTCTGTATTTGGTGCTCTGAATCATTCTGTCCTTAACACTCTCTATGAAATCATATATGGCGTCATAGTGACTCTGCTGAACTCTTCTAGGAATATCAACACAAGCATGCTTCGTAGTATTATCATCTACGTAATAATACATCATGTTTTCAATCTTGGTAGGCTTCACAACAAAATAATTATATTTTGCCTCCAATAGCTTAGAGAATTCCGTTTTACCTTCTCCACCATCTGGACCGTAGATCCAGTAGATAGATCTATGATCAGGAGATCCTGATATATATTCCATAAGAATATTCTGCCATGGATGACGGGGGTGCACGTCAGCATAATTTTCTATGAAGGCCTTTTTCTTCTGTAAACATATGTATCTGTTATACATGTTCGGATCCTCAATCTTAGCACTCTCAGGGTCTTCTTCACATAGTTGGATCCTCTTCCTCTTATGCTGACCAGGGGCTACAGGCTCACCAAGCTCAAAGATAACATAACCTTCTTTAGAACAATACACCTTGTTCTGTAGATCTGAACCGGTGGCATTAGTTAAATGCACTGTTTGAGAACCAAGGAAATCTTTCACAGCACCAGGTCTCTTCACATTCGTGAAGGAGATGAACCTTTGATAATGGTCTCTCAGGGTAGATGGACTCTTCTCTGCTCCAATAACACAATATTTCACTTCCGTACTGAATATATTTTGTTTAAAACAAAAATCTTCCCAAAGGGTAAAGCAGAACCTCCTCCCTTGCTTTAATGGAATACTCATTTTATTAATAAATATAATAAAATATAGCAAGGGAAGGGAAGGGAAGTAGGAAAGGGAGCGGGGTAATACTAGTGCCCGCTCCCCCCTTACCATTTTTGTAGGCAACAATGTTCGCGGATTTCAAATTAATTAAATATACCTTTGCATATAATTGAAATCCGTTGAAAAGTAAACACCCTTTTATATAGAGAATTAAATTTGGTGCATTGTATTGTAATGAGTAATCAGCTTCCTGATTAGGAAAAGATATCATCTGATAGAATTATATTAATTGAATGTAATCCATAGTCCCTGCACTAAGGGCCTTGTATTGTTGAAGACATTTATCTCCATTAATTTCTAATTAGATTATGGGCTTCCGTAGGGATCCCTGTAGAACAGACTATATGGGGAAGCTGTGCATTATTTGTGTTTTTCAAATGTGGATGGAATGCTTACCTTTGTTTCTTGAAAAGTGGAGTTGCTCTACTTCTTCCTTGACAAACCAAATTATCATTTATTCTTCCCAAGTCTGATATAAATTTGGTCACTTGACTTTCAACAGTTTTAGAAATTGTTGATAAACTAAATGAGATATATAATGCAGGTTAGGAGGGGTGCAGATAGAGCAGAAATATATAGTCTGGTATTCTCTTCAACTGCCCAGTGGCTGGCAGTCTCAAGCGACAAGGGCACTGTCCATGTTTTTGGTCTAAAGGCTAATTTGGGAAACCTGGGAAGTGATAAGTCACATGGTGCATCTGATCCCAATCATGCTGTTTCATCACCCACTTCATCACTCTCTTTTATAAAAGGTAATAAGATGCCTTCCTCAAATCACTTGTAAACTTGCCTTTTTTTTTAAAAAAAAAAAAATTTAGTTCTTTTCTGGCACATTGATGTTCTTCCTTAAATAACTAAGGGGCGCATGGGCATTTGAATGCAGTTTATGTTTGCAATTTGCACGAACTGCTGTCACTAAAATGGAGAGAATTTGGATCAATACCATTAAATGAAATTCTAAAAACAATGTTGTGCATTAGACAAGCAAGCAACAAAATAGGATCACATCAAGTGCCCTGGAGATGGAAGCTTTTCAGCTTAGATGCCATTAACATAATGAAATCGTTTCTTTTCAGAGAAGGCGGATTTTATTTTATTTTTCCGAAGGAGAAGTCCTGAAACTATGCCAAAAGATGATATGAAGGTTTTGTGTAGTCCATTACATAACTTCAATTTCCATGGTTACCTTGTCCTTTAATTTCTGAAACATGCTGGACAAATTTATAGCTTTACCCTTTAATGAGTTCAATGAAGCTTCAGAAAGTCATTTGGGGGTAAAAACTCATTGGTGGACTAGGAATAAACCAAGTGACTAGTTCCTCATAATGGTTCCTTTCTCAGTTCACAAATATATATGTATGAACAATTCTAGACTCTTCAAAGGATCAATGTTGTCTTTAATATTGACAATGCATCAACTTCTTGATTCTCAAAGAACTCAAGACTACATAAATTGGTAGATTTCAGAGGAACCATTTCTTTTGCTCCAAAATGCTCTGATTACCATGCAGATGTTATGGATATTTGACAAATGGTGTATTTTGTGAATAGAGATTACAATTCTGTTCTTTTGTTCTCGGTATGATTTTTAATCCGCTATGTTATTTAAAATGCTTTTGGTATTTCTGTGTTTTCTGTTTTCTGTGATTTGATTAATTATTACCGGATGCCGGAGGGTAACATTTAAAGATAAATTTTGTTTCGTTTGCTTGAAGGTTCTCAATACATTGTTGCATTTGGTCACCAAAAGAATACTGTTGTAATTCTTGGCTTAGATGGAAGGTGTGTACAACGAACAAGATATCATTGATTTAATTTATACATAATGATTTAGTAATTTAATGTATCCTGTTATTTCTAGTTTGCTTTGATTTTGCGAACCAACCTCTCATTTAAGTGCTGCCTAAAAAACATACAGAAAATGTTTACGTCTGCTTCAGAATAGGTATTAGTTATCAATAAATGTAATATGATTTGATATAGTGCAAACAAGAAAGGGTACGTTTTGAATCTTCCTTCTTGAGAGAAGATATTTTCATCCCGTCCACAATTTTTGTAAACACACTCTCTCTCTCTCTCTCTCTCTCTCTCTCTCTCTCACACACACACACACACACACACACACACACACACACAGTAGTAAAATAACTGATTTGCATTTATGCAGCTTCTATCGTTGCAGTTTGATCCAGTGAGTGGTGGAGAGATGACTCAGTTGGAATATCACAACTTCCTAAAGCCTGAAGAAGCTTTTTAGGAGAGGGTTTGGGAGGGTTGTTACACTAACTTCTTCATTGTTATATACCATATTGTTCCCTTTTGTGTGTATCATTTGGTTCTCTTCCAAATAGGAGGAGAATATTATGTTGTAAATATGATTATTTGTTACTCACATTTGACAATTTGCAACTGTTTTAACCACCAAAAAGTGTAACAAAACATATTCACATCTGTAAATATTCAAGTATCTCGTAATTATATTTATGTCAAGCTTTCTATGTTGGATGATCTTGTGAAGAAATTGAACCCTTATGTTCTCTGTTCTCATAAAATAAGAATGTAAACAAATTTGCCATGTCCAAAGAGTAACTGGTACTTTTGCCTGCTTACACACAACAAATTGTTACCTTTTTTATTCAAGAGTTGAAGCTTGTGTTGTGGTCGATGAAGGATTCAAAGTATGTTGATTAGGTCTTCAATCATTCTAAATTTGGGGTTTGTTTTTTGGTTTTTTGGGATATCAAATTTTCTGAGTAGTTTATCACTTTATTGTGCCATTAAGTGCTAATGGTGCAATACTACTTTAATAAAGATGTACTTGTTTGGGCAATTTAGGGAGCATATTAATTTCGAGACTGTGTAAGCAAATAAGTTGACGTAAAACTAAAATACATAAAAGCCTTACAATTTCTAATGTGAAAGTAGAATATAACAAAATTTGAAATGTGGAAGTGAATTATGGACCAGGAATTTTTTATTTTGATAATATTGGATGTGTTATCGAAAGTATAGTCAATTGATGATAACATACCAAATTGTAAAATAAAAAAAATAAAAAATAAAATAAAAAAGATTGAAACTACAATTTGTGGACTGTAGTATTATAATCTATAAAAGAAAAATGATATTTGTAACTTTTGATGTGTTATACCATTTTATTCCGCTTTCTTAATTAATGCAATATAAAAGCTATATGTTCAAGATTTTACTATATTTAAAGTGTAGACTTAGAGTTGTCCGTTTCAACGGAGAGAGAGAGAGAGAGAGTATTAATTCCAGACAGATGGCAAGATAACCGGGAAACAAGAACATTGAAATTTATATACCACAGAATCTCTCTATATTTCCAACTCATCTTCCTCCTGATCGAAACATTCATCAAGTGATCAAACAACTTCTCAATCACTCTTTCGATTTGTGTGTGAAAATGGGGATGAAGTTATATGGAATACCAGCGTCGACATGCACTGCAAGGGTGATGGCATGCCTCTATGAAAAGGGCGTAGATTTTGAGCTCATCCCAGTTAACATGGGTGCCGGTGAACACAAGCAACCTGCATTCCTTAACAAGAATGTGAGTCTAATTCAAGTAGTCATATTTTAAGTATTCAAATTTTGGTCTAAACTTGTAAGTCTGATTGTGTGTCTTATTTTATATCTCAACTATTCATTTCATCTCAACTATTCATTTTTGTAAACTTTCGTCTATAGATCATTTATTATTTAAAAAATAATAATTAATCTATTAATTATAATTATATGATTTCATCAATTTTTTTTATAAAAAAAATTTAGGACAAATATTGTTTTGAAAATAGTCTCTCTCTTTTTTTTTTGAAGACAAATTAATAAAATTATGTGATTAAAGTTTATTAGATCCATTTTATTTTATTTTTAAGTTTTTTTAATTTCTTTACATGTTCTTCACAGATGTCTATGAGATAAATAACTCAAACCATCAAATTGAGACCCAACTAGAATGAAATGAATTTCTTGGCAAGAGAGATCCATACATATATGACATTCTACATTATTGTTGTGGTTGTGGTTGTTGTTGTTGTTGGTTTTTTTTTTTTTTTTAAATTACTCAGTATCGTTTATATGAATTTTTGAATAATTCAATTCACACTTGGATTTAGTCTCTTGATTTTTGTCACGTGTGTGTAGCCCTTTGGCCAAATTCCAGCGCTAGAAGATGGAGATCTCACTCTTTTTGGTAAGCTCTCTCACTTAATTTTTCATTATATCGTCATAAATTTATTCTTATAATTATAAATGAGTTCATATCAAAATCTTATAACCACTGGATGATGTAATCAAAATATTTTATTACAATCATATAATGAAAAAAATCTCAATCACGACGACTATCTTGATTGCTTATCATTTATCTATTATTACTAGAATCAAGAGCAATCACAGCATACATAGCAGAGAAATACAAAGACACAAGCTATGATCTCATAAGACACAAAAACCTCAAAGAAGCTGCACAAGTCAAAGTATGGTTAGAGGTAGAATCCCAGCAATTCAACCCTCCAATCTCCGCCATCATCTTCCAGTGCTTCTTCGCCCCAATGTACGGCATGAAAACCGACCAGGCAGTTGTTGACGCCAACGTGGAGAAGCTCGGGAAAGTGCTCGACGTGTACGAGGCCAGGCTGGCGAAGTCCAAGTACCTCGCCGGAGATTTCTACAGCTTGGCAGATCTCCACCACCTCGGTTTCACTCATTACCTTTTCAAGACTCCTTATGCGTCGGTGTTCAACGAACGGCCACGTGTCAAGTCGTGGTGGGAGGACATTTCGTCGAGGCCGGTTTTTAAGAAAATTTCACCGGCGATGAGTTTTGGAGACAAATGAAATGATGGTGGTAGTACGTGGAAGTGAAGGTTTTTCATGCATGGTCTGCATTGAAATAAAACAATGAAACAGTAGTAGGGGTACAGTTTCATTGTGTTCTTTAGAGGTTTTTTTTTTTTTGGTTTTGAATTTGTGCAAAAAAATGTCATCAGAATTTTTTCAAGATTTCATCTGATACAAATAAGAGTAGTCTGCAAAATTGAAAATTCATAATTTTGGAAAGTGAAGTTGAGCCTGAAAAACAACAGAATAATATGCACATAGGGGAAAGAAAAAATTGGTGATTTTATTATAAAGTAAGATGCACGCAATTTAACCTTTGTTTTTAGGGAAGTTATTTATGTGACTGACATTGACGACACTAGAAATGCTAGCCCCTACTAAAAAAATAATCTCAATTATTTATTTTTTATTATTATTTTATTTTTTTGTATAAACTAGATTTGTTCAAGTGATTGTATTTTGATATCTCTTCAAGCTTTTGTAGAAGCCATTTTAGTTTATGATTTGGTAAAAATTTCATCAACCCTTGATTTTATGAGAAAAAATAAATGATAAACACTCATAATTTTATATTCACAAATTAATCTACTATATATGACAAGTGAGTTGAAAGTTAAGACTCATTGTACCACATTATTATAGATCAAATCATATTATGGGAGTTATTTAGGAATGTGACTAATGTCAAACATTTATGGCCCTATTTGTTTTGAGAAATAGAGATAGGATTGGGATTGAGATTGAGATGGAGGTGGGAGTCACTATTTGTTGTGTTTGTTTTGGGAGATGGAGAGGAGATTCATAATTCCATAGGATTAGGATGGGCCTTGATGTTGGGATTGAGATGGAGGAAGTGGAGATGATATGAGGAAATTAGTCCCATGGGAATATTATTTTTTATTTTTTTATTTACATGTTGGGCATTTTTTTTAACATTAATGTTTAATGTTTTTGTATTTTTTGTTAAATAAAAATCATAATTTTATTTGTTTAAATATTTTATATTTCTTTTATAGGGTAATAATTTAACAATCTCTACATTAACAACTACCATCAAAACAAACATAATTTTATTTAATCCCCTCACTATCAATCTCCTCCATTCTACCTCTGAAAACAAGTGAAGCCTATATATAATAATTGGGAAAATTATATTTCAATAAACAGTAAAAAAATAATTTCATTTTCATAGTGATGCAAATCTCTTATATATATGGTATATGTTTGATACAAAATTATCGTACGTGTCAAACTTATATTAAAAAAAAAATTTACATAGAAAGCAATTATTTTAAAAGTGTCCCACTTATTTGTAATTTTCTCTAAATGATTTATCATATCAATAAGTTTATATGTACAAAAATTAAATATAAAATGAGACACAACTCACCATTTATAAGACATCTGGCTCTCATTTCGTATTGAGTTATGCTAGAGACTCTAAATATTCTACTAAATATTTTACAAAATCTCTCACATAGGTGTGAAACCCACACACATATAGATTTGTGTAAGTCTCATCCCATATAAAAAATTTAATAAAATATTTAATAGAGTATTTATTTGAGATACATAGCATTTCTCCTAAATATTTGATCTGTGTGTGTTTCTAGCATTCTTATTAGAGTAATGCTAGAGACCCCAAAAATTCTACCAAAAGTTTTACCAAATATAATGCTAGAGACCCCAAAAGTTTACCAAAAGTTTGATCTGGGGTCTCTAGCATTTTTGTTGTTATTATTATATTCAAAAAGCATCAGGTTTCCCACGTGGACTCAATTTATTGGGCCACGACGGAGGCCAGACAATAATGCACTTAATACTTGGGCCCACAGCCAATGGCACCTAACGATATGCCGTTTTAATTTGGGGCCCAGTGGATGATTCGTTGTGACGATCCAAATATTTTACAAGCTCATCATTATTAAAAAATTTTAAAAGCATAAGAATGAAGACAAATTAGCTAATCCACCAAATTATAATCTTAAAAAGTTAATTTTTTTTTAAGGATAATTAACCCAAGATAATGAATTTGGAGCTAATAATTAGAAGCTCTACTCATGAGCCATTGCGAATATGGAATTAGTTAAACTTCTCTCATGACAAATTGTCTTAGAAAATTCAAATAAATGATTAAAAATCATGTTATAAATAAGAATAAAAATAAAAATGGTGTGGTCAATCCTCCACCGAGAAAGAGGGTGTCATAATTTTATATCATATATTGGAGTACAAAATATTTATCTTTTTGTCTCTTTTATGTACAAATAAAAATTTTCTATTGTAATTTTTATACAATGCTGTTGTTATATATTTTTTATTATAAGAAGACATGTAATTTAACGGCATAAATTTCAAACTGATATAAAATAACACCAAAATACCGTGTATTTTTTCAAACCATCATTTAAAAATGATGTTATTTTATTTTACTTTTAAAATTATTGCAAAGGTATCCATTTCAAAATATTTTGTTGTTATTTTTGGGCCCGTTGAATTATACGTTGGGCCCACATCTTCTTTTGGACGGCCTTTGGCTACTTATTTTGACAAGTTTATCTGCCATTCTCACATGTGTATTCAACATCAACCTACCAACTCTTCAAATCAAACATTAATTTCACATTCCGTTCAAAAAACAAAACAAAAAAAAAAACCACATGAATTTCACATTTTAATTAATTTTACATTTTTGATATAATTACACTAAGTATCTTTTAAAGTTATAATTCACATAACAATTAAATTTTTTTCATTAGTAATTTGTTAGTTATATATAAAAAAAAATGATACTGTGATATATTTTCAACTAAAATGTATATATATATATTTATTTATTTCAATGTCTATTTGTCATCTATATTAGTTTCAGTTGTTTTAACTATACTAAATGAAAAATCAATATAATTATGTCAAAATGGTTGAACAAATTGTATATTTCCCAAATGATATAGACATGGGAAATTTCATTTCAGGGGTACCTTTAAAAAATAATTACAAATAAGTGATTAATTGGTTTAAGAACACATAGCGTTTTCAAAATCGGATATCGTGGTTAGTAGAGGCCGGTCTTCGGACTGGGCGAAAGGGGGTGCTCATAGCTGACCTTCCCCGATCGTACCCAAGCTCCCGGGCCGAGACAACTCCGGTGATGACGGACATGTGACCTTCGGCATCGAGTCAGGGTTTCCTAAATTTCCCCATTTTAAAATATTTAGGTGGCGACTCTGTATCTGGCAAAGCAGTCCATGTTTGGCACTACTTTTTCAAAAATCTGTTTCTCAAAACGATTTGCCAGATTTGGACTCTTTGGTTCAAATTAAGAACCGTGACACAAATCGAGAGTCCGAACTGTAGCGAGGTTCCCTCCCGCGGGCTTGTTACAACATGCATGCATGGATTGACTTAGCTTCCTTAAATTCTTGCTCAATTCTCCCATAAATTCATCTATTTCATTTGAAGTCTTGTAGAGTCTAACTCAATTACATAATTAAGAGTTTGATTCCTTACCTAGAGACTTGAATTCCCAAGTGTTGAAGTTGAATTCTCAAATTCTCTTCAAATGCCAACAATTCCTAGTAAATCTCTCATTCTCCCTTGTTGAACTCACCCTCACTCTTAGTCTCTCTTCCTTCCTCACGTTTGTAGCTCCCCCAAAAGAGTGAATTGAGGGAATGTATGAGTGCATATGGAAGTCCACTAATGCCTTAATTTGGCTTGGGTAATAGTGCAATTAATTAAGGTTAAATAAGTGGGCATTAATTTATTCTAATTTAATCGTTCCAAATTGAATTTTAATTAAACCTATCATAAAATCCTATAAATCCTAATTAACATATAAATCGAGTCAATTTTTGAATCGGATGCCGATAGGGCCTTCAATTCACAAATCGAAATCAGAACATGAACAGATATAAACACAAAATGATGCAATGCACATATAATTGATTCAGGATTTCTTCTTAATTACTTATTTAGCATACTTAACGTGAATTAGCGTTATTCATGGGTCGGGGTTGTTACAGATGTACCTGCAAGAACATCAAAGTCTTAAAGGGCCGTCAAAAATGGGGTGTCTACAGGTCCCCTACTGGAAATTTCACTTCTGTCTTAGCTTACCATATTATTTCTCCTCCGGTGGAGAATCCATTGTGCCTGGATTGGGTTTGGAAACTTAAGCTTCCCCAAAAGCTTAAAGGTTTTTTATGGCTTATATTTCATGATAAACTACTTACTAATGCTGCGAGATTATTGAGAGGCTTATCGGATAATGCTAGTTGTCCCAGGTGTAATCACCATCTGGAAGATGCTGAGCATCTGGTTCGTAGTTGTATGCATTCTCAAAATGTTTGGGACAATCTGGTTGGTAGTCATGGTTATGTTCTTAATCAGCAGGGGTCTTTCCTTGCTTGGTTTAAAAGGAATTTATGTCCTTAACCTGATATGGTTTCTAATTGGAGTTTAATCTTTGCGATTGCCGTTTGGAAAATCTGGAAGGATAGAAACAGGAAAATTTTTGAAAATATTGAACCTTTTTGGCAAAAAATTGTCTATCTTACTTATAATTATGTTAATGAGATTCAACAAGCTTTTGATGCTTCGATCATCAAAATGGCTAAATAATGCAATCTCAAATGTCTATTAATTTTCAATAATTTGTTCTATGCTTGGAATAATTGTTACTATTCCATTAATAAAAAAGCTAGGCTTTTATTAGTACTTAGAAAAATTGTGCGTATTTAAATTTTGTCCGGGGCAAATACATAAAAATCGTACAGAGAGAGGGTAGGTGGGGCAATGGCAGGGCGAAGAGTGTATGGAAGCTTGAAGTCGCCGGCGACATTGAAGGTGTTGGCGAACCTGTTTGAGCACGACCTCGACTTTGAGTTTGTTCCCGTCGATTTGGAGAATGGAGAGCACAAAAACAAACACTTCCTCTCTATGAATGTGAGTCATTTGAAAAAAAAAAATGATTGACGTCCTGAGAGTCTTCTGTGTTCTTATTATTCTGATATTCTTCGATGATCCGAGTGGTAATTCAATGATATGATTTGATTTATGAAGAAACATTATAATTTCTCTAATTTGCGAGGTTTAATATTAAGCTTTGTGTAAATATACATACTTTAAATTTGAAGGTAAGTAAGCTAGCTATACATATGCACATGTTTTTGCAGCCGTTTGGACAAGTGCCGGTGTACGAGGACGGAGGCATCAAGCAATTCGGTAATTTTATTTTTATTTTTTCAAAGTGATATTAGTGTGGCAAGTTTGAGAATATACTATTTTAGTTATTTTTTAAATTTTTACAACAAGATATATAAAAAAAAATAAA